TAGTCTTTCATAAGGAAAACCGGACTTCAACAACAGCTGGATTTCTATTTCCATCTGAACATGTTCCACTGTTGAGCTGAACTTACTATAAGAAGATGTTTCCAGGGGTGGGATACAAATTTTTTAACAACTGGTTCTGTGGGTGTGGCTTAGTTGGTGGGCGTGACTTGGTGGTCATGTAACTGGGTGGACGTGGCTTGGTGGTCATGTTATTGGCTGGGTGTGGCCAACTCGATATCACTCACATTGAGGCACGCTTCTCCTTGCCTGGCCTCTAATGACTGTGGGGATGCTGCAACAGTCTTAAGTGTGAAAAAAGGTCATAAGTCACTTTTTTCAGTGCCATTGTAACTTTGAATGGTCACTCCACACAAGCAAAGTACCAGCAAAGGAGGGGAAAAAACCTCCAGAAAAGTTCCAGAGACAGGAAGTCTAGTCCTGCCAAGAATGTAATAAGGGTTAACGGAGAGGCAGTTTCTGTAAGCAACACCAGAATGTTTCCTTCCTGCCTTCCTTACAGGATTAGGCCAGTGATTTCTTCTAACAACCGGTTCTCCGAACTGCTTAGAATGTTAACAACTGTTCTAGCGAATCGGTGCGAACTGGAAGAAACCCACCCCTGGGTGTTTTCCAACACTGAACCAAAATGTATGATATACTTCTAGGTTCCCATTACTATTTGCATAATACAGTTGGCAAGACTTCAGATTCTAACGCCAAAAAAAAAATGGTTTCAGGAGACAGAAAAGAATTCACACAGCATCTGTGGAAGCTGCTTAAAGCAGTTGAACATCCTCATTCTGGCAAAAGACCCATTTACTGATTGATGCTTACAATGACAAGAGTAACTCAAAGTTGACTTGAGGACTATTATTATAATTTATTCTCAGGGCTACTGGAGGAATGGGACAGCCATATAACCATATCATGCTTATAGGAATGCCCTCATTATACCAGTTGTAAAAGAATATAAAATAATGCAAGACACTCTAATAGAAACTATGGTGTAGTTTAAGTAGGTAGAGTGAATGGACTTTGAGAAGTTTAAAGCACGAAGACTCAAAAGTGCTTTTTCAAGAGGCAACTGTATTTTCTGGCACCATAAAGTCCAGTTGCCTCTTGAAAAAGCAGCTTTGGGACAACCATGATATTGATACAGATTAGATAGAAATTAACAGAGTTGGAAGGAACCTTGTAGGTCATCTAGTCCAACCCCACCCACCCAAGCAGGAGACTGTATACCATTTTTGACAGATGGTAGTTCTGTCTCTTCTTGAAAGCCTCCACAACTTCTGAAGGCAACTTCTGTTCCATTGGTTGATTGTTCTCACTGTTCTTATTTCCAGGTTGAATCTCTCCTTGTTCAGTTTCCATCCATCATTCCTTGTCTGGCCCTCAGGTGCCTTGGAAAATAGCTTGACCCTTTCCTCTCTGTGGCAGCCCCTCAAATATTGGAACACTGCTATCATTACCTAGATGACCGATAATCTCCATAGACATACAGCATGAAGATATGCAATATGAAGTTTCCTTCAAGTTGTGCTCTACTCCTGGTGACCATTACACTGTTTTCTTGGCCAAGGTACAGAAGAGATTCATTGCTTATTTTTTCTTAATAGCAATAGCACTTAGATTTACAGAATATGCCACTTCACAGTGCTTTACAGCCCTCTCTAAGCGGTTTTACAGAGTCAACATATTGCCCCCAACAATCTGGGTCCTCATTTTATCCACCTCAGAAGGTTAGAAGGCTGAGTCAATTTGAGCCTGGTGAGATTTGAACTACCAGATTGCAGGCAGCCAGCAGACATCAGAAGTAGCCTGCAGTTCTGCCTTCTATCCACTGTGCTACTAAGGCTTAAAGTGCTTTTTACAACCTCCCACTCAGGTCTACAGGGTTAAAATGAGTCTCCCACTCAAATACAAACCAGAGCCAACCCTGCTTTACCTCCTGAGGGCCGGCCAAGGTCAACTAAGTGATGCCTTCTGATGAACTGAAAAGCTAGAATGGAAGTTTCCTCCCTTGGAAAAGAACGTTTACAGAAATAGCCTTTCTAAGGACATCTCCAAGCAGGGATAGAGGCTTTATATCTGTCCCTGAAGTAAATCTCAATGAATTCAACTAAATTTTGAATAGAGGTATCCCCACCCACCACCAAAAAAGATATCAATCTATGCTCATTCAGTTTTATCCTTTTTAAGTCTCTCAGTAGGCTCTCTGTCCAACAACTCAATCAAGACTGGAATTTGACCAGGAGTAAACACCAGAGCTTTGCCTTCCTTCTAGAAAATCACTGGAACCATGCAGGATGGCGAAACCTTGGGAAAAGGAAGTATCATCCCATGGGATCCCATTTAATAAAGCTAAAAACTGACAAGACTTTTCTGGCACCTTGTGTGATGTTTGGCATCCTTCGTGTTGGTGATCTTGCTCAAAAAGAGACTTTGTGAGATATCAGGCCTTTTTTTTTTTTTTTGGCTACAGCTTTGTAACAAGATTAGAAGGTCACACCCAGTTTAGAATACTTATCAGAGAGTCAGTTCTGTGAAACTCAATATAGGAATTACTACCAGGCTGCACAACTTTTGACAAAGACATGCTATTGTAAAACATATCAATGCCTAAAGAGGCATTCTCCTCTAAACTACTAATAGATTATGATATAATTCTTTATTGGCCAAGTGTGATTGGATTGGAAAGAATTTGTCTTCTGTGCGTATGCTCTCAGCGTACATAATATTGTACATAAGTGTACAGTGCACATATGTGACTGTGGCTACTCTATGTTTTTTTTTTCTCCTAGTGAAGCAAACAATTCTCCTTTTTTCATACCTACTAGATAGCCAGGACTTGCTTACAAAGCAGATGGAAGATATTTCATGCCGGTTCCCACATTACAAAATACAGAGCTGTAAGGACCTTAGAGGTCTTCTAGTCCAACCCCCTGGACAAGCAGGAGACTCTATAATATTCTGGACAAATGGCTGTCCAATCTCTTCTTAAAAACCTCCAGTGATAGAATACCTATAATTTCTGCAGGCAAGTTGTTCCACTGATTAATTGTTCTAACTGTCACGAGATCACTCCTCAGTTCTAGGTTAGTTCTACCCTTGATTACTTTCCATCCATTGTTTCTTGTCCTGCCTTCAGGTGCTTTGGAGAAAAGGTTCAACCCCTCTTTTTTGTGGCAGCCCCTCAAATACTGAACACTGCTATCATGTCACTCCTAGTCCTTCTTTTCATTAGACTAGACATATTCCGTTCCTCATTCTCCATTCTTTTAGCCTCCAGCCCCCTAACCATCTTTGTGGCTCTTCTCTGCATATGGGACATAGCACCTCTTTTCAATCCTACACCTATACAGCAAGAACCACATTCATCCCATGCATATTCCCCCAGCATCTCTCCATATCCCACAAAACATAAAATACTTATTGAGAAAGAAAATTACTGTACTTAATAATATGATTTTGGTCTCTATTAGAATCCAAATACTCTCTAACAGTTCTCCACAATATGTGTTTTAAACAACTGTTTTTATTTTGCAGGTTAGAAAAAAAACAATTCACTGCTTTTCACTTCTCCATTGATTAAAGAAAGTTGAACTAAACATCTTAGATTTCCTTTCTCACCTTTTCCCTCATGTTTAAATATTTTTTGGGGATTGTTGTTAGTTGTCCTTGTTCCTTCACCCATCCCCAAGGCTAGGTATGCTATGGCAATTTTGTTCAGTCGACCTGTAGCATTTTCTATGGCTGAAATATTAACAGTAAAGAGGGGAAAAAATGCTTGAAATCTGCTGACATGGGCATATGTGCTCCTTTTGTTCCTGGGTAGGAGTTAAATAATAAATATGTACAGGGAGATCCAGAACAAAAAAGTTGTCAAGCTGTCACCCTTAAGAATAACCTCAAAAATTTGCAGAATAGAAAAAGTATATATTAGATTGTCATGTCTGGTTTAAGTCTATGCAACCTCTGCCTTGAACAGCAGTTAAGAGGATTCAAATTCAGCTTTCAGTTCACTCACTAATTTACCTCAGAGAGCAGAAAGCAGCCATTAGAAAGAAATAAAGTCAGTGGTCATTAAAGGAATATTTAAGAAAAGAAAAATTAACTGCATGGAGAAGCCACATCTTGTGAATCCCTCAACTTTGGAGACTGAAAATGTTGTCAAAAGTTCCAAATATGAAACACAGAGAGGGAAAAAACAACAACATAATTTTAGGTGCCCATATGATCAAAATAGCCACTAATTGAATTTTGTTCAGTCAACCTGGAGCATTTAGGTAGGCAGGACTTGTTCAGCTGACCTGGGATTTAAATAGGCAGAATTTTGTCTTCTAAAAACAGAATCTGAATTCTATATTTTAGCTGGTCCGGTTTAACTCAATTTGTTAACAGGAACAATGAATCCAACATTTTTAAAAATGTTACCCTGGAAATAAGTAAACTGTTGATTATTTCCATAGGATGGATGGATGTCCTGACAGCTTTACTGAACAGTGCATTTTCAGGTAGTATATTTAGAGTGTGTTAATATGAAAGTAAAATAACTTGGAAAAATAACAGTGTTAAAAAAAAAAACAGGCTGAAAGGAAAACAAAGAAGAAGAAATTAAGCTGTAATTTCTCCTGCTTTTTTAAAAGCAAGGATTTTTTGCAACAATTCTCTTTCCAATCAGAAACTTCTGCTTTCGAAATTTGTATTAGTTGATCAAAATATCAAATAAAGAAGTAAAAAAGAAAAAATTAAACAAGGGAGGAAAAGGGGAAGAGAGAAAAATGTAGGGTAAAGGAGGACAGGAAAAGAAAAGCATTGGTGCAGTAGAAGAAGGTAATAGCATAAAATCTCAACTTTTGCTTTTTTTACAATGAACCTATCTAATCGGTAAAACTCAAAATCAAAAATTCATTTTTTTTTCCATCTCGGGAACAAAGTCCATAAGCAGTTTCCAGGTAGAAACAAAATTAATTGTGTCTTTTAGATCAAAAACTTACCCACAGCAGAATTTAGGTCTCCGTTTTCAGACTCTGCTGCGTGCTGGTTATTATTGGGATGGTAATTTGACATTGCTTCTAATTTAATTTTTTTCACCTTCATTGCTTCTGCGATGGCAGCATTGGTGGCCGCAGCCGCAGCAGCAGCCGCAGCTGTCAGACCTACAACGAAAGGGGAATAACAACCATGAAATCACAACTTCTATCCGCTCTCCCTTTGACATCACCTTCTTTCTGGGAAATTGTGATCAAGTTCTTAAGGCAGAAAACGACAGAGGAAAAATCATCCTCTGAAAGTGACAGCAAACTTCTCAAGGATTTCATGGCCAAATAAGGTATGTAAAATGGCCTCCTGTGTTTTTTAGTCAATCAGCTCCAATCCTGCTTAGAATCTACCAGTTGAAATCATGGAGACCAAAGATGGTCATTTTTACTTAGGATAAAATAGATTACTTATCTCTAATTTCACTGAATTAAAACTTGATTTGGGCCTTTGTGTTTTTACCTGACAAATAGTAGACACTGTTCTGAATGCCACGTTCAAAAGATATATATCCTAGACTAAACCAGGAAATGAAAGAAAAGGATTTGTTTGTTCATTGTAAACTATGTCATGTATAAGATAGTCCATTTGTTTAGGCTCTGTCCTTTTCCCATTTCTCTTATTCCAATATTAAGGTCTGTGACATACCATCTAAAAGCAGATTGCTCTTTTTCTCCAGCTGCTAGAAATCAGGAACACTGAAATACATTAGAATTCACATGCAATGTAAACTTTAACATAATTTTATAAAATAAGCAAAACCCTCAGAAGCCCCCCTCCAAAATTCAGAAAAAAATTAAAAAGAACTACAATGCCCAGAGTCCCCAGCTCACACTCAACCTACCTCTGAAAAAGGATCGGGATAATAGAGGCTATGATAATATTATAACTGAAAACAATAATTTGCAAAATTCAGAAGCTGGAGATACTATATAGTTAGTGTAGAACAGTCCATCAAGAAGTGCATGAGATGAAATATTTATGCGATTTTTTTCAAGAAAGGAAGAGGGAAGACAATCTCATTATCCCAGCTATTTGCCCCTATGTCTCCCTTTTTATGGGTAAAGTTGGGGCAACTGATTGGAGCTAAGTGTTTCCTCCTCGGCTGCCCTTCCTATGCAGAGTTCACAGCAGATATTTTCTCTTTGTGCCCTAATAGAAAAACATCTGCCACTACCTAGGATTGAACTCTCAACCTTCCTAGTGGGAACCTTCCTAGTAGCCACCACGCCACTCATTTGCCCCTAGGTCTAAATCTCACTATTTACCTCAAGTTGTTGTTGTGGGGAAAATAGGAGGAAAAGTGTGTTGAATAGGTTCACCACTCTGAAGCATTTGTAAAATAATAATAATAATAATAATAATAATAATAATAATAATAATAATAAAGGAGACAAATTAAATAAATGAATGAATTTCATCATGGGGCTTACTATATCGCATTCAGAATTTGCCCTCCCCCCCAAAAAAAAGAAGTTATTTGCAAAGGGAATTTGAAATCCCTCCCCACTTTTAAAAAAAAAATAGTTTGAGAGGTATTGGTGTGGGAGGTGATGTAAATAACGGTGAAGAAAGCCTATTGCAGTTATCATTAATATCCCGAAATTGATAATCTGTTTACGTCTAGCATTTTTCCTGCTGATTATTCAGTGAAACAAGCCACTTTATAAATATCTCATCACTCCAGCGTCACACAAATTTCATCGACGATGCCATTAGCAATATGAATCTAACCATTAGAAGGAGAAGGCAGCATGTGGCATTAATACGCAACCCTGCTTCCTAACCATCTGATAGGCAGATGGTATAGAGTAGATTCTCCAGCTGAAATGGAAGAGCCGCATCATTTAAAAACCTTGTTTGCATTCTAACTGATATTGCTGCCATATTGCTATCCAGGATGCATCATGGCAATGTTTGAACAATCTAGTTTGTCTCAGTCATAAATGTTTACAGCCTTGTGTTTTTGTTTTGTTTTTAATTTTTAGATGCATGTTCTGGAGCACATAATTTTTAATTTATGAAATCTATTGTTTACTTCTGTGGAACCAGAAGATTAGCAAGGCGAAGGAATACAAAATTGCTACTAACCCAACCGACAGATAAAATATAAAATATTGTGTGTGGTTTTTTTTTTCTTCAATAAAGATCGCTAGCAACAGAATTAAAAAAAAATTAGCTGAGGCATTTTAGGCATTACATTTATTCATTAAACCTAACAGCTTTCCCCCCATGTGACAGACTTAGAAGTTTAATGTTATCACACACAGCTCTTCATGTAAAGCTCTTACGGTGTGCAATTAATCTTGTCCCATAATTCTATTCACAAAGAAAAACATCCAAAAGTAAAATCTTGCTCAATAATTGTGGTTCTGAAGGAGCCTTCCCTTCCAATGACTCGTGCAGAAAAGTCTTTTTAAAGAGTCTTGTAAGAGTAGAAGTGAACTTGGATTATAACTCAATTCAAGAATCTTTCAAGTCTTCCACCTCAGGTCAAGTCACAACTTCAGCCAGACACTCACTGACAACCAAACAAACACACACAAACAGACACACACTCTAGTCTAAATGAGGCCTCAACCCAGTGGTGGGATTCAAAAAAATTTACTACTGGTTCTGTGGGTGTGGCTTGGTGGGCGTTGCAGGGGAAGGATACTGTAAAATCTCCAGTCAGAGGTGGGATTTGCTGGTTCTCCAAACTACTCAACATTTCTGCTACTGGTTTTCCAGAACTGGTCAGAACCGGCTGAATACCACCTCTGCATAGGATGCGTAATAGTCACCTCCATTCCCATAGTTCAAAGGTGCCCACCCTTCTCCTACCTTCCTTTTTCAGAGTTTAAGTTTTTCAACCGTCAGTCGCTATTGGAAAAATTACTGAGTTAGCTTATCTGCGTTTTACTTTGACTCTTCCAGATGTTATTCATGCCAGACTTTGCATAAATAAAAATAAATTTCACTAAAATCAGAATTACTTTTGGGTAACATTGCCACATGCAGTCACGAGATGCTACCCAAGATGAAATGAAAGGGAAGTGTTCTCAAAATGCAGCAATGTGATATAGAACAAACAAGGAATGCATTTTCTGAGGTCTTACAGATGTGCATACCAAATCAAAACAATTCAATTAACACTGTCCTCTCTCTAATCTAAGCAGCCCTGTCTTCTCAAGCAATAGGTTCTTCGGTCATTTTTCAAGCTGCTGCATTATTCATTTCGCCAGATGCACAAGGTAGGCTATAAATTGTTACTTTATCTAATCAAAGGCGACTTAACTCTAGAGAAGGTCAAAGGTTTAATTTTGTGAGGTATTATCTTACACTGGGAGTTTAACCCAAAAACAGAAGAAGAAAAACAGTCAAGAAATTGATAATAAATGAATCTTTATAGCCTCAGGCATCAGTCTAGTTTAGTTAATAAACTTTCACTGAATGTTTCTTTCAACTGTTACGGACAAGGAGGTTAAAAAAAATTCTTAAATTGCAACCACGTGTGACTTTTAAAGCAGATTTTTTTAAAAAAAAAAAAAATTCAAATTCCATCCCCCACAAACCTTAGAAGACAAAGCATTCTTTATATTAAGAAAAAACACATACTTTAAAAGAGACAAAGAGGTGCAGGAAAGAAATCTTTGCAGAAGGGGAAAATCAGCCTGCTGTAAATATGGAATTTTGTGTCCTGATCTATTTTAAATTGTACATCAACACTGATCATCTGACATGGAAAGAAGATTTAAGAGGAAATTCTTCACAGACATTTTTTTTTTGTCTTGGAAAGAGACAGGAAGCACCAGATATCTCTCCAAAATCTGTCCAAAAATGTGTATTCTTTTGAAACTTATCCTCATTTAATTCAGTTGGATGCCTCTTTAAATAAATTACCAATGCTTCATCAATAAACAAAAGTGATTTTTTTTTGCCTTTTGTGATTATTTAACAGTGGTGATCCTTGCCCTTTTCTGCCACATACCTACTGCAATAGGTTTATGTTGGGTTTCCTCAGAAAGTAGTATACCACAGAATGGCCAGAAGGTCAGCAGAGAAAACCCAGCTTGTGCTTGGGATAAAATCCATTTATCACCAGGCTGTTTGTGGTTCACAGTAGAGGTTATTTCATTTCAACCCCTTTGTGGGCACAGCACAGAGATACATAAAGAACTCCCTCAACTAATATGACTTCGTTCTCCTTTTGTAGACTTCTAGAGAGAGTCTGTTCATGGTCCCACCTTGGCAAGAAGTGAGGACAACGCAGATTAGGAAGCAAGTCTTCACTGTGGTAGCTCTCATAGTGGGAAGACATGGTCCTCTTTTCAGGAAGTCCAGAAAATTCTGAAGTCTTTCCTTTTAGGCTAGTGGTTCTCGATCTTTTATTCACTACTTTAAATATCTTTTGTGGGCATGGACCATGGCTAGCACACACACACCCCACACACACACAAGATTTAAATCAAGATTTAAATCATAATGTTTTTGATGTCAAGAGGCAACTGGACTTTCTGTTTTGTCTTTGAAGACATTTCGCTTCTCATCCAAGAAGCTTCTTCAGCTGTGACTGGATGATGGTGAATGGAAGGATTTATACTCCTTGCAGACAACTGGTCATTTGTATTCTTTTGGAGTCATTGAAGCCACTCCACACCCATTTGTACTACTCAGGTGATGCAGGTGAGCCTCCAAGTGGCTTCAATGACTCTCTAAAAGAATACAAATGACCATCTGTCTGCAAGGAGTATAAATCCTTCCACTCCCCACCATCCAGTCAGAGCTGAAGAAACTTCTTGGATGAGAAGTGAAATGTCTTCAAAGAAAAACCAAAAAGTCCACTTGCCTCTTGGAAAAGCACCTTTGGGACCACCAGGACCTGGATGACTGAGAATATCCATAGACACCCCCTGTGATAGCATTGAGGCTCTGCACACCACAGGTTGAGAACAACTGCCCTAAGTTATTTTCAGGAGCTAATGTGAATTTTATAGCTGCATTTTAAATTCTTGAGTGAATAAATTCACCCAATACGTAGTGTGAAATTTACAGTTGTGTTTTAATTTATGGAGGCATTTCAGGTGCCTCTTTTATACATTTTAGTATTGGGCACTCTGTCTGCACAGTGACAGTGCTA